TATATATTTTATAAGACTTGTTTCTTTTTGTTGTTTTCTCTCTTTGTCTCTTCTCTGCGGTCTCTTCTGTATAATACTTCACATATATACTTCCTTTATCATTTACGCTCAACGTCCCTGCTGCTGCTGCTGCTGCACATGCTGCTGTTGTTGTTGCTGCTGCTGCTGCTGGGTCTCGGGAGCAGCAGCAGCAGGTGGGTGATGCTGCTATGGATTAGCTGTTGGTGCTGCGGTATGAGGAGGTCTAGCAGCAGCAGCAGCAGCATCATTAGCAGCAGCTACTGCTGCAGCCGCCGCAGCAGCAGCAGGATCTGTTGTTGTTGCTGCAGCAGCAGGACCAGGCGGAGCAGCACCTGGAGCATGAGCATGAGCAGCAGCAGCAGCAGCAGCTGCTGCTGCTGCTCTTTCTTGTGCTCTATCTTTCTCAGCAGCAACAGGATAAAGAAATGCTGCGAGACAAGTGCAATCGTCTGCTGAGCCGTTTTTAATTGCTTTCTTTACTATTTTACGACACAGCTCGTTGAGCAGCTGTGGGGTTGGTGACTCTAAAAGAGAATAATAATTAGGAGTAAATATTTGCTGCAGACTTGAATGACTTACTGACATGAGTCGTTGCTGCTCTAACCCGCATATCCCTGAGAAAGGAGACTCGCTTGCTGCTGCTGCTGCTGCTGCTGCTGCTGCACCTGCTTCAGCTGCTGCTACAGCTGCCGCTGCTTGTGCTGCTGCTGTCGCGCTGATGCTGCTGCTCTTGTCCATGCTACGCAATGTGCTGTTGCTGTTGTTGTTGTTATTGCTGCTGCTGCTGCTGCTGCTGAATTGCTGCGACGATTGACTCTGCGTTGGAAGCAGCCGCCTCCAGCTAGTAATTCTTCTCAAACCCGAAGGAGCAGACTGCTGCTGCTGCTGCTGCTGCTGTTGCTGCTGCTGCTGCTGCGGCTGCGGTTGTTGCGAGGAAGCAGCCTGCTGCAGCCTGCTGGCGCTGCTGCTGCTGCTGCTGCTGCTGCTCAGGGAGCTTCTAAAGAAGGCGGTGAAATCTCCGGCGCTTGCAACTCTGCGTCCAAGCGATGCTGCAGGCAGCCTTTGCTGCTGCTGCTGCTGCTGCTGCTGCTGATGTTGCTGCTGCCTCTGTTGCTGAACCTGTGATCTGCTTAGAGAGCGCTGGGCCTGCAGCAGGAGCTGCTGCTGCTGCTGCCTGTAGACAAGAAACTCTGTCTCTCTCTTTGCTGCTCCTTCTAAAGCCCGCCATAGCGGTTTTATCTGCTGCACGCACTTTAGAACTTCTGCTGCAGATATGAAATCCCAGACACCGTCAGTAGCTAGCAGCAGCAAGCCGCAGTTAGTAAGGCCTGCTGCTGCTGCTGCTGCATTGGATGCTGCTGCTGCTGCAGCGTCTGCAACAGCTGCTGCTGCAACACTATCGGTAGCTGCTGCTGCCGCTCTTGCTGCTGCTGCTGCTGAGGGCCTCATAGGTGCGGGTACAGCAGCAGCAGCAGCAGGTGCTGGAGTAGCTAAAGGGGTTGTAGCAGACATAGATGAAAATAAAGAAGACAGACATAACACAGATATCTCAGGCTCTATAGACAGTGCACGAGGAGGCAGCCTATCCTTCACATCAAAATCGCCTATTGAGCGAGTCGGCTCGAGCTGTCCAGCCATCTTGTTGTTTATTATACTCACCTGCAGCAGCAGCAGCAGCAGCAGCAAGTGTAGCAGCAAGTGTAGCAGCAGCAAGTGTAGCAGCAGCAAGTGTAGCAGCAGCAAGATGAAGTGCAGTAGGCATTTGTGCGAGGACAAATTGCGACACACAGCAGCAGCAGCAGGAAATTCAACAGCAGCAGCAACAGCAACCAATATGCAGCAGCAGCAGCAGGAAATTCTACAGCAGCAGCAACAGCAAATATACAACAGCAGCAGCAACAGCTGCAGCAAGACTCACTCCGAGGGCCCTGATGCGTTTGTCTTCTGACGGGCAGCCGCAGCGAAGCTGTCTCGACAACCACTGGAAGCTGATGCTGCTGCCGCTGCACCAGCTGCTGCTGCTGCTGCTGCTGTATGTTCCTACAGAAGAAGTGCTGTCTGAGTGAGGCATCTTGCTGCTGCTGGGAATGAGGCAAAGAGACAGTCTGCTGCTGCTGTGGCTGCTGATGCTGCTGCTGCTGCTGATAGCTGACAGCAACTCCGAAGCACTTCCTCGCGCTCCCGCTGCTGCTGCAAGCCCCGCTGCTCTTTGCTGCTGCTGCTGCTGCTGTTGCTGCTGCTGCTGCTGCGAGGGTATTTGCAACCAGCGACTTGTAGACCCTGCAGACTCTAAAGAGTCAACCCCGAAAAAAGAATGCTCTCGTTTCAGGTTGCTGGTGCTGCTGCTGCGGCTGCTGCGGCGCTGCAGCTGCTGCTGCTGCTGCTGCAGCGCCGGTGCAGACCTACTCACAGGCATTGACGTACCGCTGCTGACGCTGCTGCTGCAGCAGCATCCGAGCTTCCCCCGCGGATGTTTGTTGCTGCTGCTGCTGCTACTGCTGCTGCTGCATGGACAATCTGCAGCAGTATGCTGCTGCTGCTTCTGCTGCTGCTGCTGCTGCAGCAGCAAATCGGAGAGAGTTCCTGCTGCTCCTGGGTTGCTCTGGCCTCCAGCGAGAGGTTTGAATGCAAATTCTTTATAATCCCAATAGCCTATAGTGCCGGCTGCTGCTGTTGCTGCTGCTGCTGCTGCTGCTGCTGCTTCCTCGTGCTGCTGCTGCAGCAACTCTCCCTCTGGTGCTACGCCGCCCAAAGGAGGAGCAGCTCCTGCAGCAGCAACAGCAGCGTTAAGTTCTGCTGATGCTGCTGTCGAATCAAAGACAGGGGGAGACGATGCAGCAGCAGCAGCAGCAGCAGCAGCAGCAGCAGCAGGAGCAGCAACAGAATTACGGTTCTTATGCTTCCCACTGATAGACCGAGCAGCAGCAGCTCGAAAATCAAAAGATATAAATGCAGCGCCGCAGTCTCCCAAGTTAAAGGTAAATAGATAAGGGCCCTGCAGCAGCAGCAGCAGCAGCAGCAGCAGCAGCAGCAGCAAATGCGAATGCGAATGCAGCAGCAGCAGCATATGCAGCAGCAAACGCAGCAGTAGCAACACATGCACCACTCCACAGCAACAAGCGCTTGCTGCTGCAGCAGCAGCAGCAACGCTAGCAGCGAAAACAGACGCACAACCACCAACAGTTCCCCACCATTCGCAGCAGCAGTAACAGCAGCAGCAGCAACAGCAGCAACAGCAACAGCAGCAGCAGCAGCAGCAGCAGCAGCAGCAATACCTGGAGGAGCGCAGCAACGAGGCAGCTGCCACTCCCTGCTGCTTCTGGGTGCGTCTTTCCTAGGACAGCAGCTCGGCGCCTGCAGCAGCAGCAGCAAAACGACAGCAAATATCTGCTGCTAGCATTAACTGCTGCTGCTGCTGCTGGTATTGCTGCTGCTGCAGAGTGCCCTGCCCACAACTAACAGCAGCACCATCAACTGCAGCCGCTGCAGCAGAATATGAATCCTCTTTTGCTACATATACTCAGCTGCAACAGCAGCAGCAGCAAACCAACAGCAGCAGCAGCAAACCAACAACAGCAGCAGCAAAACAGCAGCAAAACAGGAGCAGCAAAACAGCAACAGCAGCAGCAAAACAGCAACAGCGAAACAGCAGCAGCAGGATCAAATGAACAGCAGCAGAATCCCAACAACAGCAGCAGCAGCAGCAGCAAGAGAGCAAGAGGAGCGCAACAGCAGCAGCAGCAGCAGACTGACCTCATAAGCGCATCAAGGTCAGCGAAGAGAGATCTTGCTGCTGTGTGCAGCTGATCAGGCTGCAGCAGCGGCAGATGGTGCGGCAGCCGTTTGAAAGCTAAGAGAGGCAGCGTCTTGGATATGAAAGCAGCAGCTTCATGCGTATCATGTCCGTCGCAAACAATAAAGAAAACAGAGGGTGTGTTAGCTCTTTTAGCTGTCTCTAGAGGCAGCTGAGGTGGATATATCATATCGGGAACGCCTTGTGCTGCTGCTGCTGCTGCTGCTGCTGCTGATGATGCCGCTAATACACTAGGAGAACGCGATCCTGCTGCTGCTGCTGCTGCTGCTGCTCTTGCTTCTGCTGCTGCTGCTGCTGTTGCTTCCCAGCATATTGATACTGCTGAACCCTCTACACCTGGACGCACTGTCTTCTTCTTACGAAGCACAGGCAAGCCTATCCATCTGCTTTGCTGGTGCTGCTGCTCTGCTGCTGCTGCTGCTGCTGCTGCTACTCCCCAAGGGGGGGCTGGCGGCGCCTCAACGAGATGTTCGATAGCTGCGTCAACAGCAGCAGCAGCAGCAGCAGCACCCGATCCCCCGTCTGCTGCTGCTGCTGCTGCTGCTGCTGCTGCTTCACGTGCTGCACCTAGATCAGCAGCAAACCCGCTCTGCAACCCCACACGAACTAAACCTGCAACAGCAGCAGGCAACTGACAGCTGTGGCCATAGCATGTTATTGTCTCTGTTGCTGCTGCTGCTGCTGCTGCTTCTGCTCGCTCAGCTGCTGCTTGGAAGGCAGCAACACGTGCTGCTGCTGCTGCTGTTGCTGCTGCTGCTGCTGCACCTGCTGCTGCAGCAGACCCGTCCCCACGAAGCTCATACCCAAGACCTCGGCCTCCAGCAGCAACTTCCATTATCTTTCTTTCTGCTGCTGCTGCCTCTTCTGCTGCATTATTTCTGCTGCTGTCAGGGCTGCTGCTCCGCCTACGTGATGCAGGTGCTGTTGCTGCTGCTGCTGTATTTGCTGCTGCTTCTGCTGCTGCTTGACGCTGCTGCTGTTGCTGCTGTTGCTGCTGCTGCTGCTGTTGCTGCTGCTGCTGCTGTGAACATTGACCCCACACACTGACGCTTACCCTGTCTTCGTTATCGTGCATTAAACCCTTATGAGAGTACGATCCGAAGATTGCTCTAACTAAGCAAGATTGCTGGGCGCCAAGGCCTGCTCTTGCGTCTGCAGCTGCTCCCCACTGCTGCTGCTGGTGCTGCTGCTGCTGTTGCTGCTGATGCTGCTGCTCTTGCTGCTGCTCCTCATATGAAGACCCCTTCTCTGCGTCTTCATCCTCCTCTTCTACAACACCTTGCAAATGGCCTCCTAAGTCTCCCTGCCGCCAAGCTGCTGCTGCTAATGATCGCTGCACAGCTTCCATATCTAATGTTGCTGCTGCAGCAGCAGCAGCTGCTGCATGAACAGTTCTTCTCATGATCAGCAGCAGCTAGAGAGAAGAAAGTATAGAAACAGACAAAGAGGAGATATATTATGCTGCAGATGCAGCTGCAAATTGTTACAGCGCAAACTCTAAACCCTTACACCAGATGAGAGCCAGCGTCATGCATATTACCTCTACACCAAGCATAAAAGACAAGAAAAAAGATATTAAAAAACAAAAATAAGAAAATAAAATGCGATTTTATGAACGATAAGGTCAAATACCCCAGACAATCTTGCGAAAGATATCCTTTAGGGTTTAGGGTTTAGGGTTTAGGGTTTAGGGTTTAGGGTTTAGAGGCTGCCGCTTTCATGCTGGCGTGTATTAAGACACCCACAGAACTTGAGAGAAAAATAAACAAATTTCAAAACAACACATTTTAAAATAAACAAAGAATAACAGCAAACTTTCTAATTTAAATTATCTCTCCTTCAATCCAGCTGTACATACACTGCAACATAGGTATATATATACTGCATGCAGCTTCAGAAATAGTAGGAAAGACGACAGAATTAGGAGTTTATTTTGTTTAAAACAAAAAAATCAATTTAATTTATTTATTTTTATTTATTTTTATTTATTTCGAGGGTTTTCATTCGCTCTCCTCATCCATTCCTATCATATTCTCGAATCTTCATAGTGATGGCTACTACTGCTGCTTATATATAGCGACTATGAATTATTTATTACTAATATATATTTAATTTACAATTTTAAATTCAATAATACTTATTTTAGAGTCTATTATGCATGCAAAAGCTGAAGAATTCATACAGTATTGTTTGTCTTAATTGTGTTGATAGAAAACAAATATATGCTTTGATAGAGTAGAAGTGCAGCACAGATATTTATGTATACTTAGCGAATTTATTTAAATCGGCTGTCTATACACTGAAAAGGGGTTTGTTTATATTTTCATGCGAATATACACTCCAGCACCCCCTGAAACAGCTGCCTTTAGTTCATATTTGTTTATCTTCTTCCTCCTTTACTCTTAAGCTTTCATCTATAGACTGTCTACGCTCACAGTGCAGCAAAGTCTTACAAACGCCCACTTCAATTCTTCTAACGAAGTCAATTCTCACCCAAATACTCATATAGAAACAGTCGCTGACGCGCTATATATATATATATATATGCATATATATATATATATATAAAACAGTCTCTGGCGTGTTATATATATATATATATATATATATTGCAGAGGTGGTATATATACATATATATGTAATATAG